GACGCCCACGTTCATGTCCAACGAGAAAGGCTCTGGATCTGGGGCCGTCAAGGCTTTGTCGATGAACAGAGCGCCAAGGACCAGGCCCAGTGGTATGATGGCCTGGGAGTGAAATGGAAAATGCTTCTTGTGGATGGAATGACGAGAAGAGGGGAATGAAAATGGAGACTGTTTCGTCACCTGGGCGATCATTAGTTTCCATTTCCGTGAGATGTAAATGAACTTTTTTGTGAGAAGGGCCCTCAATTGCAGGACAAAAAGGGAAATGCTACTCTTCTTCCCTGCTATCTCGATCAGCCCTATAATGGGGAAATATAGCAATGAGCTAAGTAACGAAGAAACGAAAACGGAATAATAGCGAGCAATAAAAGGAAATTGGATTCCTCGGAATGCCAGACGATCGGGAGGTCACGGAAGGTTCTCACTGGAGGTGCTGGCATGATGGATGTCGTTCGGACCGGCTCGAGTCTGCCCGATGTCTCCTTTCGCGTCTGCTCCCTCTCCGACCCTGAAGACAAATTTCCTTCAATCTGCCTCCTTTGCTCCATCCCGCATCGAGCTGACCGAATGGGGAACCTGAGGAAGACTTCTTCGAGGGTGGTGGCGGAGATGCCGAAGCTTCGGATGCCGAGCTGGACCTTCGTCTTCTCCAGCGTTTCGAGGACCGTAGGGAAGACGTGCGTCGTCGAGGAGGGCAACATATAACTTGCTTCGCTGCCTGCGCTGCTCTTCAGCTCTGCTTCCGGGCACGAATTTTGCAGAAGGGATAGGACTTTCCCCTCTTGAAAGTCCGATGTCTTCGTAACCGTTAAGGTGTAGCCGCTCCCTAAGTACAAAAAATGCTCATTATTAATACATTGCTGTTTTTTTTTGCTTTTCGCAGATAATTCCGACGGGAGAAGTGATGACGTCATCGTAATCATGCGTTAATGTTTTTCTGGACGGATGAGTAGGAGTTGAAAGGTGGCAAACGTACTTCAGCGATGGTTGCCTTCGTGGTTGCCTTCATGGTTGGCTTCATGGTTGCCTTCACTTGCTTATTATTTAGGATTCCCAATGAAAATTTTTGATGGGGGCATGGGAATGCCGGGTTTCCTTTTGACGCAACGAAATTTGCAAATTGGCAGAAATGATTCGATGAAGTGGCCAGCATTCCGTCAAGGTAAACGTGGGGTCGACTTAATGCCACAAACGAAAAGCCTAAGTTGGTCTTGCCACAGGTTCAAATTTGGGCAACCTGCTCATTGAAGTCGAGAGAGTCGAGATCGTCCAAGCCCAAACCCAGAATCCGTTCCTGCCCCACATCTACACCGTTATACCAGCCTTACCTTAGAATTTAGCAGGAATTCGGCACAGCGCTGCATGCCCTTCACCCTCTGTGCTCCATCCCAGGCGCCCACATCGGCAAAATTGGCCTGTCCCGCTCCCTCTCATTAGGAGTCTACATTGGACGAACTTCAAACGCTGACGGGCGGCACGACTTTCAAGGAATTTAGGAAAGGCTTCGAGTAAGCTTCAACATTTGTTTGTGATATTTTTGCTTCCCTTACTTTGCCTCCCCCATCGTGTTCTACCCCCTCCCCGTCCCCCCTTCATCATCTCCGACAATTTTTTCATTCGGGAATGGAACACCTTAATTCATTACGTATTAGGTTTATTTCCAAATACTTTTCAAGGAAGGAAACATGGGTTTCACCCACATCGAAAATGTGCATGCCAACCTGAATGGAACAAATTCAGGACAAGACTCGTCTAACCCTTTTTGAAATATAATTATCCGCAATAACGGGCGGCATGCACTAGATTCGTTTCGATTTTAATTGGAAATTTAATGGAAATAAGTCAGTCGATATTAATCGGAATTCCATAGGATCCATTGTGAGATCAGATTAGTTCAACTTGAATGGTTTCGCTGGATGTCACCCGATTCCCGTCTCAAACATAATGCATGAACCTGTCTCGTTTCCCTGCTTGCTAGGACGAGAATTCAAGGATTCCCCTACTTGCAAGGACGAGAATTCAAGGATTCCCCTACTTGCTAAGACGAGAATTCAAGGATTCCACCACGATTTTCTCTTCATCAGCCGGGGATACCCTCCGGGTCTACTTTTTTTTTAAAGATCTATTATTAGCCCAAAGGCGTCCCGATATCGATCAGAATAGAATGCTTAAAAAAATTTGTTTTCTAAAGTATTCGTGGCATGAAGTACATTACCATAGTGCTTCTTCAGGAACAAGGAGGACCCGACGCATTGCAACCGACCGTGGGCCATTATCGCGATGCGATCGCCCAGCACATCCGCTTCCTCCATGTAATGGGTCGTCAAAAGAATCGTTCGATCCCGTTTCTCTTCCTGCGAATAACTCGACTGGCAGCCCAAAAATTCGAATCGAATTGGAATCGGAATTCGTCGCGGCTTACCTGGAGAATGTTCCAGACGATTCGGCGAGCCTCGGGGTCCAGTCCTGATGTTGGCTCGTCCAGGATCACTACCTGTAATGATGTGCAATGACCGACGTCGTTTCGTGGTGATTCGAGGTCGACCTTCCTCTTTTTCGTTTATCTTTGCAGGTACACCGTGCAACCGAGCCAATATATTCTTGCTATTAACTTGTATTGAATTCGCACAATTGATAAATTGTAAAATGGCGTATCATAGCCAAAAATGCAGGCGATATTACTTCAAGTGATGCAGCTACGAAAAATTCAGACAAATCATAAATATTTCTCGTGGATGCATCAAAGAGAGTTAATATTTCCGCAGATCTCAACCCATCTCGATGAGGTTACCATTTGCGACTGTGGTGCTGTTTATTGCAATTTTCTTGGCCTCCCTATCGGCGACTCTTCCCAAAGGATCTTAATTGTTGACCTTTACGAATGCATATTTAATGACTGGAAAAACCCTTGGAAGCGTGAGAGAGGAATAATGAAAGTGGAGTCTTCGATCAAAACCAGCAATAACGCCACTTTCAAACGAATCACGTATCTCTTCCTTATTAGTGGAGGAATTCCTGGATTGACGAATAACGCCCATGAAAAAGGAGATCATCGGCCAACTATATGGATGCGATGTGGTAATTAGTTGGATATCTTCAACGTTCATATGGAAGACGAAGAAGTACCTTCGTATCGCCGATGAGGGAAATGACGAGGGAAAGTTTTCTCTTCATCCCGCCTGATAGATTCCGAGCCAGAGAACCCAGTGGCAGCGACAAGCGGTCGGCGTATCCTCTGCCGACGCCCATGGATTCCTTCCTCGTCAGGCCCCTCAGCTGCACGGAACCGATCGGTGAGGGAGAGAAGCGAGACTGGGAGAAGTATGACGGGGGGATGAGCGAACCTGGCCGAAGAGGAGGATGTGCTCTCTCACGCTGAGTTCCGGGAAGAGCATGCTGTGCTGAGGGCACAATCCAAGGCTGTCCCGGACTTTGTCCATGCTGTGGCGGATGTCGTAGCCGTTCACGAGCGCCGTGCCCCCCGTCATCGAATACATCCCTGCAAAATCATCCAATGCTGTTCTCGTGAGCGCTCGTGGCATGACCAGACTTAGAATTTCACAAAGTTTGCGCGGAAACTTAGGAATGTTTCATTTCGATGTATTTCTCTTGAAAAAAAAACTTCATTCATCAAAAATCTATTACAAAAAGAAAACTTTCATGATGAATGGACCTGAATGGCAAAAGGTGGCATTCACGTCACCCACGCTTTCGAGTTAATATTCTGATCGTCGATTGGTATTAATGCATTCGTCTTCGCAGTGACAGTTGCCATCCTGTTGCAGCAACCTGGATTTTCTCACTTTTCCTCAGTTTGTCTAAAAGTATCGTCACTCGATTATCAGGAAAAATTCATTTTGTGTTCGCTCAATTATCAGTAAGCCAGAATTGAATCTTATGTGAACGGTGTGACAGGACCCCAATAGGGACGATTTGTGGCCATGATTCGGAACTACNCTACCCCCTCCCCGTCCCCCCTTCATCATCTCCGACAATTTTTTCATTCGGGAATGGAACACCTTAATTCATTACGTATTAGGTTTATTTCCAAATACTTTTCAAGGAAGGAAACATGGGTTTCACCCACATCGAAAATGTGCATGCCAACCTGAATGGAACAAATTCAGGACAAGACTCGTCTAACCCTTTTTGAAATATAATTATCCGCAATAACGGGCGGCATGCACTAGATTCGTTTCGATTTTAATTGGAAATTTAATGGAAATAAGTCAGTCGATATTAATCGGAATTCCATAGGATCCATTGTGAGATCAGATTAGTTCAACTTGAATGGTTTCGCTGGATGTCACCCGATTCCCGTCTCAAACATAATGCATGAACCTGTCTCGTTTCCCTGCTTGCTAGGACGAGAATTCAAGGATTCCCCTACTTGCAAGGACGAGAATTCAAGGATTCCCCTACTTGCTAAGACGAGAATTCAAGGATTCCACCACGATTTTCTCTTCATCAGCCGGGGATACCCTCCGGGTCTACTTTTTTTTTAAAGATCTATTATTAGCCCAAAGGCGTCCCGATATCGATCAGAATAGAATGCTTAAAAAAATTTGTTTTCTAAAGTATTCGTGGCATGAAGTACATTACCATAGTGCTTCTTCAGGAACAAGGAGGACCCGACGCATTGCAACCGACCGTGGGCCATTATCGCGATGCGATCGCCCAGCACATCCGCTTCCTCCATGTAATGGGTCGTCAAAAGAATCGTTCGATCCCGTTTCTCTTCCTGCGAATAACTCGACTGGCAGCCCAAAAATTCGAATCGAATTGGAATCGGAATTCGTCGCGGCTTACCTGGAGAATGTTCCAGACGATTCGGCGAGCCTCGGGGTCCAGTCCTGATGTTGGCTCGTCCAGGATCACTACCTGTAATGATGTGCAATGACCGACGTCGTTTCGTGGTGATTCGAGGTCGACCTTCCTCTTTTTCGTTTATCTTTGCAGGTACACCGTGCAACCGAGCCAATATATTCTTGCTATTAACTTGTATTGAATTCGCACAATTGATAAATTGTAAAATGGCGTATCATAGCCAAAAATGCAGGCGATATTACTTCAAGTGATGCAGCTACGAAAAATTCAGACAAATCATAAATATTTCTCGTGGATGCATCAAAGAGAGTTAATATTTCCGCAGATCTCAACCCATCTCGATGAGGTTACCATTTGCGACTGTGGTGCTGTTTATTGCAATTTTCTTGGCCTCCCTATCGGCGACTCTTCCCAAAGGATCTTAATTGTTGACCTTTACGAATGCATATTTAATGACTGGAAAAACCCTTGGAAGCGTGAGAGAGGAATAATGAAAGTGGAGTCTTCGATCAAAACCAGCAATAACGCCACTTTCAAACGAATCACGTATCTCTTCCTTATTAGTGGAGGAATTCCTGGATTGACGAATAACGCCCATGAAAAAGGAGATCATCGGCCAACTATATGGATGCGATGTGGTAATTAGTTGGATATCTTCAACGTTCATATGGAAGACGAAGAAGTACCTTCGTATCGCCGATGAGGGAAATGACGAGGGAAAGTTTTCTCTTCATCCCGCCTGATAGATTCCGAGCCAGAGAACCCAGTGGCAGCGACAAGCGGTCGGCGTATCCTCTGCCGACGCCCATGGATTCCTTCCTCGTCAGGCCCCTCAGCTGCACGGAACCAATCGGTGAGGGAGAGAAGCGAGACTGGGAGAAGGATGGCGGCGGGATGAGCGAACCTGGCCGAAGAGGAGGATGTGCTCTCTCACGCTGAGTTCCGGGAAGAGCATGCTGTGCTGAGGGCACAATCCCAGGCTGTCCCGGACTTTGTCCATGCTGTGGCGGATGTCGTAGCCGTTCACGAGCGCCGTGCCCCCCGTCATCGAATACATTCCTGCAAAATCATCCAATGCTGTTCTCGTGAGCGCTCGTGGCATGACCAGACATGAAATTTCACAAAGTTTGCGCGGAAACTTAGGAATGTTTCATTTCGATGTATTTCTCTTGAAAAAAAAAAATTCATTCATCAAAAATCGAATACAAAAAGAAAACTTTCATGATGAATGGACCTGAATGGCAAAAGGTGGCATTCACGTCACCCACGCTTTCGAGTTAATATTCTGATCGTCGATTGGTATTAATGCATTCGTCTTCGCAGTAACAGTTGCCAATCCTGTTGCAGCAACCTGGATTTTCTCACTTTTCCTCGGTTTGTTTAAACTCTCTAAAAGTATCGACTATCAGGAAAAATTCATTTTGTATTCGCTCAATTATCAGTAAGCTAGAATTTAATCTTATGTGAACGGTGTGACAGGACCCCAATAGGGACGATTTGTGGCCATGATTCGGAACTACTAGTAAAATTAAAACAAAACAGCCAACATCGAATCTCCGGTAGGAGGCTGCTGTCCCATCACGATTGGGAAATTAATGTACTTAATATAATATATTATAATATATAATTTAAATTAATATCTTAATAATATCATTAAGATGCCACGGTCAGCTTAATGTGGTGATCTATCAACAATCCTGACCATCTTAGCGCTAGACAAAAACTTCAATCTCGTTAAAATTGCATCGCTGAATAACGGTAACGGTAACGGTAACGTTATTTCATATTGCCTCATTTTGAAGAAAAATTTTTTGCCCAAAGCTTGCATTTAAATAGGAAGTGCTCAATTCCCTTTAAAAATTTCGGACTTATTTCGTGAGTCGCTTAATTGCCATAAGGAATTACATTTGTTAATTGTTAGAATTTTTGAATTAGCCCATGAGTCTCCATAAACGCACCAGTGATGATCGACATGGTGGTGGTCTTGCCGGCGCCGTTGTGACCCAGGAGGACGGTGACGTCGCCCTCACAGGCCGACAGCGACAGGCCGTCCACGGCCGCCATCCGGCCCCGGCTCGTCCGGAACACTTTCCTGAGGTTCACGATCTCGATCCCGGCTTTTCGACTCCGGAGATCTTCCTCGAAGTATTGTCCTCGGCTCGGCGAATTCCCCGTCTCTTCCAAGTCGCTTTTGGATTTTTTCGTCGGGCACCAAAACGAAGGCTGAAACGGAGAAAGTCTCGTGAAAGGAAGCCCGTAGTCTTCCGAAATTCCGGAAATTTTTTATCTGATCTCAGGCACTCCAGAAAAAATCCTGAATGCGTGAATTTTTATCTACTTTATTTTTTATTTCAACACTGTTCATTTCTATGAGAGGCACAGTATCTCCAAATTCGCCATCAATCCAGAACGATTCAATCCATTGAATCGATGAGAGTAAAATTGATCAATTGACCAAAAAAAAATTATGAGAAAAAAATAACCGATTTGATTCTTCAGGAACCAATCTGCAATCGCATCGGACGAACTCGCACATGGTTCTCACCCCTGAACCCTGAATCGCTCCAGCAAATTTGAAGGAAACTCAGAAACTTTAAATTTTTTTATGCTCTTGCGACTCACTTTGAGAAAGAAGTAGAACGGCTCGGCCAGGCCGTATTTCCCCGGCCTTACAGTGTCCATGTACCCGGTCAGACCGAGGAAGACGACAATGTCGACCAACAACATGAGCAAGACGACACCCATCGACATCTCGTTCCTGAAGAAAGGCTGCTCGAAGAGGTTCTTCCAAGTCAGCCCGTCTCCTGCGAAATTGTGAAATCGAGACCCTCCCAAACATCGAATTAATGTCACGTCACGTCAGCATTACGTCGCGTCGCGTCACGTCACTTCAGCATTACGTCACGTCGCGTCACGTCACGTCAGCATTACGTCACGTCGCGTCACGTCGCGTCAGCATTACGTCACGTCAGCGTCAAACGTCAAGGTATCGAGAAACTGATCCGAAATCCTTTGGCTTGAAATCACTCTCGAAAGGAATTCCGGAATCTTTTGCGTGATTCCAGTATTTGGAAAAGAAACTGTCTCGGAAGAGCATAGAGTATTTTACTGCGACGCCGGGCAAAAGCGTTACGAATCGTCCACATGCATCCACCTGAGCTGAAATTCATGGTGGATCGAAGGTGTTCTTGGAAACAAGTGGATGACCCACCTTGTAGAAACCCGCCTGGTCATTCACCTGCATGTACCACGTACTTCGAATTGGGTGGATATACATTAGATGTATTGTCTACGTGGATTTTTAACCCAAGTGAACCAAACTTCCAGCAGATGGAATTACGCCTAAAAGAATATCCACTTTTTGCCAAATTCACCNCAGAGAACCCAGTGGCAGCGACAAGCGGTCGGCGTATCCTCTGCCGACGCCCATGGATTCCTTCCTCGTCAGGCCCCTCAGCTGCACGGAACCGATCGGTGAGGGAGAGAAGCGAGACTGGGAGAAGTATGACGGGGGGATGAGCGAACCTGGCCGAAGAGGAGGATGTGCTCTCTCACGCTGAGTTCCGGGAAGAGCATGCTGTGCTGAGGGCACAATCCAAGGCTGTCCCGGACTTTGTCCATGCTGTGGCGGATGTCGTAGCCGTTCACGAGCGCCGTGCCCCCCGTCATCGAATACATCCCTGCAAAATCATCCAATGCTGTTCTCGTGAGCGCTCGTGGCATGACCAGACTTAGAATTTCACAAAGTTTGCGCGGAAACTTAGGAATGTTTCATTTCGATGTATTTCTCTTGAAAAAAAAACTTCATTCATCAAAAATCTATTACAAAAAGAAAACTTTCATGATGAATGGACCTGAATGGCAAAAGGTGGCATTCACGTCACCCACGCTTTCGAGTTAATATTCTGATCGTCGATTGGTATTAATGCATTCGTCTTCGCAGTGACAGTTGCCATCCTGTTGCAGCAACCTGGATTTTCTCACTTTTCCTCAGTTTGTCTAAAAGTATCGTCACTCGATTATCAGGAAAAATTCATTTTGTGTTCGCTCAATTATCAGTAAGCCAGAATTGAATCTTATGTGAACGGTGTGACAGGACCCCAATAGGGACGATTTGTGGCCATGATTCGGAACTACAAGTAAAATTAAAGCAAAACAGCCAACATCGAATCTCCGGTAGGAGGCCACTGTCCCATCACGATGGGGAATTAATGTACTTAATAATTGATATTATAATATAATTATAATATATAATATAAATTAATATACTTAATAATATCGTTAAGATGCCACGGTTTGCTTGACCGTAATGTGGTGATCTATCAGCAATACTGATCATCTTAGCGCTTGACAAAAACTTCAATCTGGTTAAAATTGCATCACTGAATAACGGTAACGGTAACGGTAACGTTTTTTCATATTGCCTCATTTTGAAGAAAAATTTTCTGTCCAAAGCTTGCATTTAAAAAGGAAGTGCTCAATTCCCTTTAAAAATTTCAGACTTTTTCGTGAGTCGATTAATTGCCATAAGGAATTACATTGGTTAATTGTTAGAATTTTTAAATTAGCCCATGAATCTCCATAAACGCACCAGTGATGATCGACATGGTGGTGGTCTTGCCGGCGCCGTTGTGACCCAGGAGGACGGTGACGTCACCTTCGCAGGCCGACAGCGACAGGCCGTCCACGGCCGCCATCCGGCCACGGCTCGTCCGGAACACTTTCCTCAGGTTTACGATCTCGATCCCGGCTTTTCGACTCCGGAGATCTTCCTCGAAATATTGTCCTCGGCTCGGCGAATTCCCCGTCTCTTCCAAGTCGCTCTTGGATTTTTTTGCCGGGCACCAAAACGATGGCTGAAACGGAAGTCTCCTCCAAACCAACAGTCTTCCTTTTTTGAATTTTTAATGATCTGATCTCTGGTACTCCAGAAAAAATCAGAATGCATGAATTTTTAATTTGTTTACTAACGTCATGATTTCAACACTGTTCATCCTATGAGAGGCACAGAATCTCCAAATTCGCCATCAATCCAGAACGATTCAATCCATTGAAGCGATAAGAGTAAAATTGATCAATTGACTTAAAAAAAAATTATAAGAAAAAAATAACCGATTTGATTCTTCAGGAACCAATCTGCAATCGCATCGGACGAACTCGCACATGGTTCTCACCCCTGAACCCAGAATCGCTCCAGCAAATTTGAAGGAAACTCAGAAACTTCAAATTTTTTTTTGCTCTTGAGACTCACTTTGAGAAAGAAGTAGAACGGCTCGGCCAGGCCGTATTTCCCCGGCCTGACAGTGTCCATGTACCCGGTCAGAACGAGGAAGACGACAATGTCGACCAACAACATGAGCAAGACGACACCCATCGACATCTCGTTCCTGAAGAAAGGCTGCTCGAAGAGATTCTTCCAAGTCAGCCCGTCTCCTGCGAAATTGTGAAATCGACGAGGAAGACGACAATGTCGACCAACAACATGAGCAAGACGACACCCATCGACATCTCGTTCCTGAAGAAAGGCTGCTCGAAGAGGTTCTTCCAAGTCAGCCCGTCTCCTGCGAAATTGTGAAATCGAGACCCTCCCAAACATCGAATTAATGTCACGTCACGTCAGCATTACGTCGCGTCGCGTCACGTCACGTCACGTCAGCGTCAAACGTCAAGGTATCGAGAAACTGATCCGAAATCCTTTGGCTTGAAATCACTCTCGAAAGGAATTCCGGAATCTTTTGCGTGATTCCAGTATTTGGAAAAGAAACTGTCTCGGAAGAGCATAGAGTATTTTACAGCGACGCCGGGCAAAAGCGTTACGAATCGTCCACATGCATCCACCTGAGCTGAAATTCATGGTGGATCGAAGGTGTTCTTGGAAACAAGTGGATGACCCACCTTGTAGAAACCCGCCTGGTCATTCACCTGCATGTACTTCAAATTGGGTGGATATACATTAGATGTATTGCCTACGTGGATTTTTAACCCAAGTGAACCAAACTTCCAGCAGATGGAATTACGCCTAAAAGGAATATCCACTTTTTGCCAAACTCACCTGATTCGAAATCCACCTGGATTTCCGGACGTTTTCGCGAGAGCACCAACCTCTTTCCTCGAAGTACGCGACGATCCTGAACCCAAGGAAGATCGCCACGCCGGGGAGTAGGCAGAGCGCGGCGACCGCGGCGAGCGCCATCGCGTCTGGCGAGTCTTCGAGGAGGCCCAGGCTGAAGACGGGGGCGACCAAGGTGACAGCCGTCGCGATCATCGCGAACGGGATCGTCAGCGACACTGCGTGGAGTCATGAGTTTTCAGTTAATTCTGCGTTCCAAGAATTTCACATCGCGAAATACTAAAGTATTGAAACACAAGTATTGAAAGTATTGAAGAAGTTAAATACTTTTTTAATCGCGGCCTTTGTGCCAACATAGCACTTACGTCATGAGGTTAACGTATCTCCATCGCTTGTCATAATTTTTTCATGGTACCCATTTGGTATTAATTGCTCAAATCGAATAATGAAAGTTCAGCCCCCTCTCCAGAAGGAACGAATGCATGACGATGCGACGAAGTCGTGTTGCACTTGAGTCCCAGAGCATTTGCAAATATAACCCGATTCAGAATTTCGGATTTGAAAGAATTGCCAAAGAATTGCCACAAAAACAAGAACTAATACGATTTCAAATATTACGTCTCCGGAAGAAGGTGGTGACGAGATAGCCGGATCCCAGGAAGGCGAGGCCGAAGAGGAGGAAGAGGAGGAAGAGGAGAAACTTGTCGGAATGGAGGATGTATCCGTCGGCGCCGACGATCGCGGTCGCCAGAATGGAAATGAAGAGGACGGACAGGGTCCCGTTCGCGAAGTGGCTCAGCCAATACAGGGTCCGTGACATCCCCATCATCTTCATCAGCTCCTATTGCATATCCACAGTAGAAATTGCATATTTATTCCATATGCATTGTTTGTATTGCATACCTATTGCATATGGATGGTATGCATTGCATGCCTATTGCATGCACATGGTATGTATCGCATACCTATTCCGTCGCTTAGATTGAGAATCGCGATAAAGTCCCAGGCAAAATGTCATTTACCGTTTCCTACATATTATCATGACATCTTTTATGGTGCGAAGTAAATATGAAATCCCAATCATGTTTCATTATTGCTTCGTTAGGACCCTTCCCTTAACGCACTTTTGCTTCCATCTCGTGAAGAACGCTCGTTAACAAGGCGAGAGTGCCTGGAAAGGCACACCTTGATCCCAGAGCACACCTTGATCTAGGTGCACCCCTTGATCTTAGATCACACCTTGATCTAGGTGCACCCCTTGATCTTAGATCACACCTTGATCTAGGAGCACACCTTGATCTAGGTGCACACCTTGATCCAGGTGCACACCTTGATCCCAGAGCATACCTTGATCCCAGATTGTTTCTCGCGGACGACACTGAGATGCTGGACGGGGATCGAGAAGAGATAGCAGGCGACGACGATGAAGGGGATCGCCATGACGATCCCGAACAAGTCATAGTTTGACCGATCCACCGTGTACTTTGGGCGTGGCATCAGTCGTAACGCCGTCTATTGAAAGAACAAAAAATACTGGTAATAGTAATCTAAATAGATTGCAACGATGATAGACTGACTAACTAGTAAACCGATGATAAATCATCAAGTTATTTGAGATTTGGAAGGCGGTAAATAACATATACCCCACCGGGTTCAAATTGGTGATACTTAAGGGATTATGTTATATTTCATACCAGAGCCTCCCTGAAGATCGGTTCGGAAAGATTCAAATGAGCTGGACCCCAACTNGGCTGGAGCACAAGAACTTCAATATGTCGTCTCCGATGGCCTTGCATCGGGCGTTCTTGTAGGCCAGGTCGATGAGGTTGAAGATGCCGTGGCCGAAACCGAAGGTTGGGAACAGGCCCCCGAGGACCTTCATGATCGGTGCAATGCTCTTAAAAAGTTTATCGAACTCGAAAATCAATGCGACCGCCAAGAACGACACCCCTGGTAAAAGCATAGAAATACGCCATCATCCGCAAACGAATCGACGAAAGGAAAAGCGAAAGGAAACCGCCCAGACCGAAAAAGACATCCACGAGCGTGCGGACCGCGAACGCCGCCCCGCTGTTCTTGAATCGGAAGCTGAAGACGTAGGCGAAGGGAAGGGCGGCGAAGCCGTACATCAGCAACAGACAGGAGAAGGAACCTGTCCGTTTGTGACAACGGTCAAGTGAAATTCATTATTCTTTCTCACTTTTTTTTCTCGATCATCATTATCAATGTGAACTTGAATTGCATGGGAATTTTTTTCCATCGCGAAATCCCCTTCTGGAGGATATTCTCACAATACTGAATAAAGTTCCATATGACCAAAGTTCCTTCAGTATTGTTTTGGATATATAAATTCCTTAATCCCTTTAAGTCATCTTCATTTAGAGAGACCCGAGTAATAATAATAAATTTAAGTTATATCAATGCGCTGCATTCACATTGCTTAGGAATAGACGTTTAAAATGATTTGATACTAAAATTTCCCTTTACTTCACTTATCAGCTGCAAAACAGATGAATTATACATCATCATGGAATGTATGTACCATCATGGAATGCTATCCTTTCTCCAATAATCAGCTTACAGAATTTAATTTTGTTAAGGCTTCACATTCAAGCATGGAAATAAGGACGAACGGAAAATGGGACGTGTTATTTCCCATCATTTACATCCATCTCAAGTATTCTTCCTAATTTGCCAACCAAGTGCAGTATGACAGGAGTCATCATCAACGTTTTCGCGAGAGCACCAACCTCTTTCCTCGAAGTACGCGACGATCCTGAACCCAAGGAAGATCGCCACGCCCGGGAGGAGGCAAAGCGCGGCGACCGCGGCGAGCGCCATCGCGGCTGCCGAGTCTTCGAGGAGGCCCAGGCTGAAGACGGGGGCGACCAAGGTGACAGCCGTCGCGATCATCGCGAACGGGATCGTCAGCGACACTGCGTGGAGTCATGAGTTTTCCGTTAATTCTGCGTTCCACGAATTTCACATCGCGAAATACTAAAGTTTTGAAACATATTCAATGTTAAACGCTTTTTTAATCGCGCCACCGCCCATTTGTGCCAACATAGCACTTACGTCATGAGATTAACATATCTCCATCGCTTGTCATAATTTTTTCATGGTACCCATTTGGTATTAATTGCTCAAATCGAATAATGAAAGTTCAGCCCCCTCTCCGGAAGGAACGAATGCATGACGATGCGACGAAGTCTTGCTGCACTTGAGTCCCAGAGCATTTGGAAATATAACCCGATTCAAAATTTCGGATTTGAAAGAATTGCCAGAGAATTGCCACAAAAACAAGAACTAATACGATTTCAAATATTACGTCTCCGGAAGAAGGTGGTGACGAGATAGCCGGATCCCAGGGAGGCGAGGCCGAAGAGGAGGAAGAGGAGGAAGAGGAGGAACTTGTCGGAATGGAGGATGTATCCGTCGGCGCCGACGATCGCGGTCGCCAGAATGGATATGAAGAGGACGGACAGGGTCCCGTTCGCGAAGTGGCTCAGCCAGTATAGGCTCCGTGACATCCCCATCATCTTCATCAGCTCCTATTGCATATCCACAGTAGATATTGCATATCTTTTGCATATGCATTGCATGTATTGCATACCTATTGCATATGGATGGTATGCATTGCATGCCTATTGCATGCACATGGTATGTATCGCATACCTATTCCATTGCTTAGATTGAGAATCGCGATAAAGTCCCAGGCAAAAAGTCATTTACAGTTTCCTACATATTATCATGACATCTTTTATGGTGAGATGTAAATACGAAATCCCAATCATATTTCATTATTGCTTCGTTCGGACCATTCCCTTAACGCACTTTTGCTTCCATCTCGTGAAGAACGCTCGGTAACATGGCGAGAGTGCCTGGAAAGGCACACCTTGATCCTAGAGCACACCTTGATCTAGGTGCACACCTTGATCTAGATGCACACCTTGATCTTAGAGCACACCTTGATCTAGGTGCAAACCTTGATCCCAGAGCATACCTTGATCCCAGATTGTTTCTCCCGGACGACACTGAGATGCTGGACCGGGATCGAGAAGAGATAGCAGGCGACGACGATGAAGGGGATCGCCATGACGATCCCGAACAAGTCATAGTTTGACCGATCCACCGTGTACTTTGGGCGTGGCATCCGTCGTACCGCCGTCTATTTGAAGAACAAAAAATACTGATAATAGTAATCTAAATAGATTACAACGATGTTAGGCTGACTAACTAGTAAACCGATGATAAATCATCAAGTTAATTGAGATTTGGAAGGCGGTAAATAACATATGCCCCACCGGGTTCAAATTGGCGATACGTAAGGGATTATGCTAAATTTCATACCAGAGCCTCCCTGAAGATCGGTTCGGAAAAATTCAAATCAGCTGGACCCCAACTCTTCTTGGCTCTGATCCAGGCACTGTTCACGAGCAGCTCGATGGGGATGAAATCGTTCAAATATTCATCTGTAAGGAGCAATAAAAAATCGCAGATAAAATTTGAACGCTGAATTCCTTTGTTTTTAAATGATAAATTTAGCGCTTTAAGTCACATTATTATTATTATTATTTATATAATTATTATTTTAATTTTAATTTTCATATGTTTTATCTATTCATTATTATTTTTTTATGGTGGGGAGGGGGGAACCTGGATCAATACTTGGGAACAGCCAAGTTCCTTGTTCACGCATTCACGCAGAACACGCCTCCTCTATCAGAGGATTACTTACAATAGTTGCAGCCGTATCCGTTGTAGGAATACGGGGAGAAGAGCGAGGAGGTGTCAATGGATCCCTGCCACCGGATTTCATAGCGCAAGTTTTTCTCGTCGTCCCCGAGGAACACGACCGCGCCTCTGACATCCATCTGCATCATCGTCCCTGATTGCAGCTGACTCAGTTTCAAGAACGCCAGGAGGTCCTCCTCCGTCCGGTAGGTCCGGATCTTGCTTAATGGAGGAAGGCAGGTTGAATGCATGAGATGTGTGCCGCGGCGGCGATGGGGATTCCTCGCGTCAGAGGAAATTCATGAAAATGTAGCAGGCAAATCATGACGATAACGGATGCAAGAAATTGTCAATGAGCGAGTTATGCAGATTCCGTTACATGTTTGCCAATCCGCGTTGACGTTGCACATGTGAAAGTGAGGGTGGATCGTATAATTTGACCGGCATGAATATTTTTAAAGCAACTGTATGGTGATATCCCCCGGTCGTTCCCTCTTCACAGACCATCGCGACTACAGGACGCAAGAGCGAATTAGAGGTTGTCGGAAATTTTTTGCAAATCTGGAAGAGCCTCGAAATCGAAGAGAATCTGTGAACTGACTCGACCCAAGGGTTTCCCGTAGCAATTTAGTGACGTTCCTCGCCACCTCCGTTTCGTTCGGGGCGAAGAGGAGCGGCCCCGACCCATACCACCAGGAAAGAAGTTCTCGCTCGTCCTTCGCCTGGTAGATCTCGTCCGGGAACGTCTCAGTCCAGCCATCCGACCTCGGTTGGCGCGTCAGGAAGAACAGACCGACGAAGAGGAGGATCGGGATGACGACCTCCATGCCGGTCAGCACCGGATGCCTCCACTGCAGGAACAAGTTCTTCCTCACGAGGAGGACGAACTTCCTCGCGATCCCGGCCATCTCGAGCGATCAGCTGAAAGGATTCCGACCGGTGGCTCTCATCACTTCGAGTCACTCTGGAAATTTCTATCCAGAACGAACTTTGCATGTTCCTTTCGGTTTTATACACAGAGTGAAATAAATGGAGATGGAGATATTGGCCCACAATAATTTTTTTTTGCACTAGGGACAGAGACTGAAGAAAGAACAGATCTCATACCCACAGTTGGATTTTCTCTTAAAACTCCAGGTGTCTCCGATGGATCTGTGGAAACCGCAACGGACTTAACATCACTCACCTGCTTTTTCGTCGAAGCGAAGGAACCGAGCGATAGAGTCACCGTTCCCGCAGGCGACTCGAGAAAGACTGGAGGAAAGCTAGCCGGATCCCAGACGCATCATGCAGTCGACGGACGCAAGTCGGCTGGCGTTGGCGCCCTCGCATTCGCACCGAGATGATAAGGGAGGACCCTACATCCCGAGATGATAAGGGAGGACCCTCCCTCGATTGCGAGGAACGCGCTGTTTCATCGTCTACAGACAGGCTGGGCACAAAATTTCCTCCTCTTTTTATTCTGCTGCTACGTTTTACCGAATTACGTTAGGCGCTTCTCATGAATGGCATCATTTATGAGTATGCGGCGGCCTGCGTTTCCACTTCTCAAGTGGTCGCGTCTAAAGTGCCTGATTCCGCGATCTCGTTTCAAGTGCCTATCCGTTCCGTCTGAAAGAGCAACGTATTTGACGGAAACGTATTTGTTTAATTTACCTTTATCCATTTCAATATATTTATCAAAACAGGATCTTGGGTCGTTACGAAGGAAGAGAAAACGCCGTGTTTTCGTGGCCGCCTTGCAAGTTGCAGGAAAAGTGCTTTAAAAAAAAGCCATTTTCTTCGTCGAGTCGAGAAGGCCCAAATCTTCTCAGCCGTTTCTTTTCCAATGAAGTAAAATTCATTAGTAAACATCTCGTTAGATTGTCTAGGCCGAATGACACCATGCTCACACGATGGACTTCTCTGTCGCAATTCTGTCGCGATCCTGTCGCAATTCTGTCGCGATCCTGTCGCTATTCTGGCGAGAGGTGAAAAATTCGCAATGAAGAGGCCTCTGTTCCATCGCATGATCATGTTTGATATGAAGAGGAAATCGTGGAAAGGATTCACTCGAAGGTCAACATTAATGGAAAGGTCTAGTCCGAAAGAGCTCCTTTCCCTGGACAGACGCAATCGCCGATACCATCCAATCCAATCAAGAGTCCATTGACCCTTTCGTTCGATTGACTATTGACCCGATCGTTTCGAGTTCTCGCTGGAAATCGTTTCTCGGAATGCGATTCTAGTCGGCGAATGATTTTGTGCGGAAATTTGCAGCCGTCCAAACTTTTGGCCTTGGTGCTCGCAGCACGCAAATCTCTTTGGAAGACCTTTGGGTTCATTTTTGCAATGACGGACAGAGGCGGAAGTGCCCGCTCTTCGGGACATCCAGAACGTGCAGAAAATGTGCGATTTTCTCGAGTTCTAACTGATCACCGTCCTCCACCGCCACGTTTGCGACTCGCGGTGCCGATTTCTCAGTAGAGTAGATACACACTTCTACGACAGGCGGTGACGTGTCACCGATAACAAGCTGACAGCGTCTCCATTTCGCATAGGGCGTCCCAGCTGTTTCATGAATAAAGTCTTCTTCCGTTATCATGGGGACAATAGGGAAGTAGACCACCCTGTTTAAGAAGGGCAATCTTTCAAGTTCATCGAAGTTGAAGTTGGTAATAACACGTAGTATGTTGGTTCACGCTTCTCTGTTCCCGTACCAAACCCCAGCATTTAAAACTTTCCAGTATCATCGATTGCCATCGTAACATGATATTTATACTTTTACTAAATACTCCTTCACAAGTATTACGATCAGATAAATACAGGGAAATGAAGAAAACTCTTCAGCTAAGGTCTGGTGAGTCCTGACTCGAGTTGGAAAGTTTGAGGGAACATAAACGCCATCTTTTGCCTACTTTGGGTACTGCACTGAGAACACGGACGTCGGGTTCTCAGCAACGTACACATTTGTACGTCTCCTTGTACGTTTCTGCTGTGTGGGTTCTCCCTCGTCATCTGGAAAGGGTGGGTCCTCAATTATCATCTTGGAGCGAACCAGATGTCGCCTGCGCCACTCGTCGCGTTGAGCACGCCGCTGCCGCTTGATGAGGGCGGCTTGGATGCCTCCATTTTGCAGCAGGATGTAGTCCCTCTCCCTCCGCATTGGTTCACGGATGTCCGTAATCACCTCGGTGAGACCTTCGGCAACAGATGGTGTTGCCGAAGAGGACCAATACCGTCGCAACCTAACTCTCGCGATCTAACATCGAGATACCTGTACTTTTTCTTGTGGGGGCATACGTTTCTCGACCTAATGATTCGGCCGATTTGAAAGAGGAAATCATCGTTCTTCATCAACTTGGACTGACCTACGGTTCGCATCAGGTTGTGTCATGAACGTGCACGTGGTCACGTTGAGGTGTGACGTTGCGCGCAAAATCATAGTAAGCATTGTACCAAATTACAGGTCCCTAACTTGAGTACTTTGGTTGTACAATGAATTATTTTTTAGAACACCTATTTGTATCACCCTGTATTTTGTATCGTTGAAGTCTTGAATCCCGCTCTAGAAAGTATAAGACCGGATGGCTGAAGGACCGATTCGGATTCGATGCCAAAGCGTGAGACATTGTTAAGGACTTTGTACATTGTTAAGGACTTTGTACATTGTAAAGGACTCTGGACGAGGCGCTCCAGAAATGCTTGATTGCCCCCGTTTAAACTCATTTCTTCCTATTGGAAGGCGACGAGAGACCCTTGGCGTGAAACTTGGCTCACTTGAACAGTGAAGCGCCTGCCGAAACCACTTGAAGCCCATTCACACTAAGGGCTTATCTGGTGAGGTTTATCTTCTTTCCTGGTTCTTCTACAAAGGTTATGATGAGATACGCTCAATAGAGGATTGATCCCAGAGACGAATACGAGAAACTACGAACAGAGGATGGGACAAAAATATTTTCCCTGTAAGGGAAGGACATGAATGATATGAAAATGGAAACTAAAAAATATGTAAAATAAGTTCGGGGGAATGTCGGGTGACACCGAGCAATCGTCCGAAAGGACGAAAATAGGTGTTCTCTGGGTCGTCCCAGCTCTCAAAATTCGGATGCAGTGAAAAGATCGATATTTGAGGCTCATTGGCACATTGAATGATAGAAATTGCATTTTTATACTAAGTCAGAAAATCCAAGATCCAAGAAAAGAGGAGATGGAGTCCTGATGGCCATTCAGAACTGTTTTTTTTATATAATTATTATTATCAAGCTGAGATATTTCATTTTCCCCATGGTCAACTCGGGATGTGCAGATCTGATGCCTACAGGCCCATTTTATAGTCCAGGTGAACTGTATTTCACTTTCTTCTAAAAAGGACAGGCTTATTTGCCTCTTTTCCTATATTTACACCCCAATTTCTAGGAAAGGGTGCAAGTAGCCTTAACTCCAGCTAAGAGTGCCCCATTAAGAGTGCCCATCGGTTCACGGAAGAGTGGAAACTCGTAACCTTGGTTCCACGAAGAGGGAAGGGGGTACTGGGGGAAGGGCCGGAGGGATGGCCGCAGGGATGGCCGGAGGGATGGCCGGAGGAGACTTTCCAAGAACGCGAATGGGAGAAATAAACATTTTGTTTTACAGTGAACGGGGAGAAATTATTCCATATTTCAGGAAAGTTTTTTTTCTTTAAGCGGGTTATTCTAATAACCTTATTCCTTCATGCAATGTTTTCCATAATGTATTCAATACTTTATGGTTGAAAAATCGAGACCGTATATTACATTAAGCGGAGTATCCCATTAAGCGGTATTCGATGATGCACTCTTAAAAATGTGACCTTTGCGTGACTTTACTCAGACGTTACTTCCGCATATAAACCGCATTTTAAAGCTTTGTAGGGGTGCGTACCCTTTGCGTTGATTGGAACCTCTCTATATATAAGTTAAAAGGAAGTTACCAAGATGTGGTAACCTCCGATTCGAAAGTGCGACTTTCATGTATAATTTATTTAGAATCGACTTAAAGACGCCTAAAAGTTACCAAGGGCTCATAACCTTTATCGCATTCTGGACCCACGTGTGTAAAAGTTGCTGGAGATTTACCGGACCGTCGTAACTTTCACAGAATAACAATGGTTATGCTTAAGTGAAACGTTACCGGCACAGAAGGGCGCAAAAGAGGTCAACATCTGATACAACTGAAATTAGTCTCTATTCGTTTCCACTAGATGCCCGGTCGAAAGAGATGGCATGGTCTAAGGGGGCTCCGTAAAATTCTGGCATGGGGGTTGCTGACAGGATGGTTCGACGACCAAGGTGACTCCATGGGATCATTTCGGACGTTATGGAAATTTCCATTTGCCGTTTCTCTCTCGCAAATCGGGAAGAGGGAAAAAAATTGGTGCTAGCCAGATCTAACAGGAAAACTTCTACGTCCATGCATCGTTATTAAATCGCTCGAAGAGAGTATTCCAT